TTCTGACGTCCTCTTTCACGAAGCGAAGACTGAGACCTCTCAGCTTTTGCGATGCTCTGAGCAGGGTTAGTGCAGTAGAAATACGAGCGAGGAAAGGAAACTTTAGAGAAGAAAAGTCTTGGGCAAGCCAAACGAAGAGAGCATAGGGCAGAGGCTAAGATAAAAGGAAGGAAGCAAGAGTTTATCTGCTCGAGGATAGACGCCCGAGGAGGGCGTCTTGATATCCACGTGGCCCTGGCGACTCAAAAAGTAGCAAGGTGGGCTGCTGACTCGCCGAAAGAAAATGCACCAGAAGCCCATTTTGGGAAGGAGAAGCATATAGCAGGGGCTATAGATTGCGGAGTGGGGCGTTTTGCAAGACTTTCAACGTGAGGCTAAAACAAGGACATTAGAGTAGGACCCACTTGTCGTGCCCACAGCTCGCGCTCAAATCCAAGGTGAGTAGTCTTACCAGGGGTAATGTGGAGCTTCCTTTCCAGCAGGTGACACAGCGCAGGGATCTCGTACTACGACGAAAGAAGGGCAAGTCAATCGGACACGTCCGTTTTTGTGTACTCATCGTACTTCGGCTAACTGCGAACTCCTAAGCGTTCTGAAGTACGTGAACAACCTCACGTCTCGAAGTAAGGTTTGCACTTGAAGAAGATCCCACCAACAGCGGAAAAGGAGGGAAGAGAATCTGGTGATGATATCGATACCTAGACGCTTTTGTCAGTTCCGGATGGGACAGGCAGGGTGCAGCTCGGCAATGTCTTTCCCTCAAAATCGTCGGAAAGGACTCTTGCCGACTGCGCATTGTTAAGATGCACACTGGGAAGCTCGTAACAAAGTACTCGCAGGGTGCATTTGACCAGCCGAGTGGAGGAGCCACCGGGATGCATCGCAAAATCTCCATGCGCCCCAACTTGTTCGGCCACGTCCAATACTTAGCCGAAGACAAGCTGACAGACGAGTGAAGCAAAGAAAAGAAGCCGGGCAGAGTCTCGACCCACTCCGATCATAGAATGATGGATTCGTTCAGAAGCGAACAGTCCAGAGTTTGCTCTTGCAAAGTGCGTTTCTAGAAAAAGTCCAAAAGGTCGAAAGCCCGACCAGAAAGCAGTGCACGGCAAAAAAGAGATCATACATCCAGGTTCAAATGATTACATCTGGCATCCCCAAACTGGTCGGCTCGGGCAAAACGACCCAGAAAGCTGATTTGAATACGGCAAAAACAACTCATCTAGGATTCATCATCCCCCTGCAGTTCGTTATCGACGGAAGAAGACGCTCCAAGCACGACTCACTTCCGAGTCACCAACGGCCCGCCTACCTTATGGGCTGCCAAAAATACGTCCCCCCCCCTAGTCTTGAGGAACTCGTCATCGAGAAGCCCAGAGTACAAGTACCGCAGCACGTGCTTGATAACCGCATATGACGCGTCCTTAACCTCAATCAGCAGCCCGCGTGGGGTGAGAGAGGTGGAGCGTGCGGAGTGCTCCTGAGACTCGATCTCCCGTTTCCATTGCTGCATGGTTAGGGTTAGCAACTTTAGGGTTTAGGGTTGAACATTTCGCTATCATTTTGGTGCTCGTTCCTGACGTTTGGATGACTGCCCGGTCTGCAAGCCTTTCTTAGCCAAAATCTGCTGACAAGTCCTTGAACGGGGCATATAATCGAGGCAGAACACGGTTGTTTCCAGGATTCTACCTCCGTTGATGATGACATGACGTCATTAATCAGTCCTGATCAACACCCAACAGCCGCAGTAGGTCAGCTCGTCAAATGGACAAACGGGTCACCCATTGACAAATGGAACGCTCCCTGGCTATGCAGAACTGACTAAACGAGCAAAATCGACTGGGAATCTTATGAGGCGCTGGACATCTCATCTACTTCTGCCGACATGAAGGTTATCTCTCATGGGAAAAACACTGATAATCATTGTTATACTTTATTTATTCTTCAATTCTACTTATAAAGGTTTAATATATCATTCATAAAAACTATTTTAATACTTTATAGTTTTCAATTTTGTCAATATTATTTACCCTTTCCGAGGAAAAGTATCGACTTCAGAAAGGTGCATGTTATCGAGGGTCGATCACAGCAGGTCACCTAATGGCCTATCCTTGAAGCGAGAACCAAATTCGTCAGTTAATCTTCATGCGAGAGGCTAATTAGCAGACACTGAGATGTATACCGCACAATGGCCGAACCAGTCAAGAGGATGCGCCCTTTTTTTGTAGGCTTCTTGCCACTGTGTTGCGCCGCAACTTCGGTTTTGGACCAACACAAAAATAGTGGAAGCGTTGCTTCAAGGCCCACCCTAAGCTATACACCAGCGACCGAAACACCTCTTTGACACTGGATTACGATCTCGTTCAAGACAGCAATCTCGAACCTTGAGCTTGCGTCAAGATAACACTTACAGCGATAGGGTCAGCGGCTCGAAGATACCTCGTTTCAAGCCTCCAGTCAGGAGACCCCCAACACTATCTTCTTCTTGATCCCCTCATCTCCAAGAGCAACCAGGGACCAAAGGAGGTATTCCTACCTTTGAAGAGTGGGTCAGAATCTCTTTCAGCACTGAGAACTCCTTTCCCTCCGCCCGCACGTCCACCAGGTTATGCGCCCCGCTGTCAAAAACTGCACCCCAGGCCGTCTGCACCGCTGCCAGCGAGGCGGTGTGAACGTGCCCATGTTCCTGTGAGACCGCATGCACATCGGCGTCGGAGGCCTGCTTGATTGTCGCGGCGGCCAGGATGCCTAGCAAGGCGTCCCAGTGACGGTACTCCCAGCCTGGAGAGGTGTGAATAGTCTCAACTGGGCCTAAGCTAGGGAGGTGCGTCGAGGTGCAACCAGCCCTTCAAGATACAAGGTTTGCCATTCAAAGAAGTACAAAACGACTGAGTGGGGTATTGTAGCAGAGCTTCCCGGTGGCAGGTCTCCCAATTTTGGAGAGGTGTGCAGAAACTCGGTTTGACGGAGTTGAAAGAGCTCGGCACTGCCTGGTCATCAGCGGGACGCCTGGCTAGAAGAACCAGTTTGACTCCAAGACCCAACGCAAGGTCAGACAGGAGTGAGGACGGAAACGTATGCCCTTGACACCGAGACCCCATGCAAGGATCTGACAGGCTAGAGGACATGACCATATTCCCCAAAAACACAGAGCTTACTGCATGATGGAGCAGGGGCTTAGAAAGCTGCCGCCCACCTTTGACATACAAGGCCGACTTCAGTTCCAAGGCCAGCAGCAGGGGCGTAAGGTGGTCATACTTGATCCTGGAGGTCTCCCCTTTGCCGTGCTTGGAGTCCCCTCCCAGGATGCTGCATTTGAAGACTTCATGTTTCAAACCCAAAACCTTAAACCCTGAAACCCAAAGATTTGGCATCTCTTTTCGCACTGATCTTGGTGGAAGGGGCGTCACTTACAAGGAGTTGCAGGCGGCTTCGTGCCATGCAGACCTCTCAAAAGAAGGTCTCAGCCTTTGAAAAGGCGAGGCCAGCAAATGCTGGGTCAGGTCAAGAAACTCGTACAACACCTTCTAGTTGGATATTGAGTGAAATGCTCCTATCTAACAGGAAGACAGTTGGGTGGATTTCACCGACCTAACGAACGCAACTCCAGCATGATCAGCAGCCTTCTTGTTGACATCTGCTCCCGCCTCCAAGAGAGTCTTCACGATGTCCGTGGAACGACTCTTGTCATAGTGACTAACAGCAATATGCAGAGCAGTCAATCCCTGCAGAAAAAGAGAACACAATTCAAATATGAAACCCCATCAACTTGAGCACAGATGATAATTGGGTGAGCCTAGAGTTGCAGATCAAACGAGCACGAAACTGCTCGCTTTTCGGAGCAAGAACACGTTCATTTCTCAGAACCATGGTACTGCCGAGCCTTCAGAATCAAGAACCCTCAGCTTGCCCTCCTTTGACTATCACCAGCTCACTTAAGAGCAGACAATGCACTGTGTCAAATGCGGCATTGCGCCCCACCAACTCTTTCCAATTCTTGTCATTCCAGATGTGTACTGACTGTAGGGTAAGCATTGGCTTTCTCACATGAAAGCACACCTCACTTGGAGCAAGGCTTACAACTTGAAGATGATTCTTGACTTTCTGATTATGAATTATGCAGAGACCTTTCAACTGCAAGTCTTTCTCTGCAAGATCGCAAGCCGCAACACTTGTAAACTGCTTCTGCTCAAATCACTCAGCATTGAACAGGGTTGTTTTGAAACAGGAGGAAAAATAATCGTCTTATCCGGCTGCAGAATCATCAAAGTCAGGGGCAATCACCTCTTTGTTGTAAGCGTTGACGTCGACCTTTCTACTTCTCAGAAGCACCTGCAGCGTCTTTGCATTCTGCTCGTCAACACAGTGGAAGAAGGTGGCTTGATTCAACTTCCCCTCTCTCTCCAGGTCAGCAACTTGGGGCTCTGTGGCCGCGATGCTCAGGGACTTCAAACTTGCTGGCATTTTGTCAGCCATTTGCTGGGGCTCACTCCTGAGCCTGTTCCTCCTGCAACTTGAGGGCCAATCTGTTAGATGTGACAGTTTGAGGGTGGAATCTGGATCATGTGAGGATGGAGCCTGGCGGCTGCGCACTGCAGCTCAGCTAGCCTGAAGCACGCGCGCGCCTGGCTTGTGGAAGGCACAGTTAGGGTTTCCAAAATCAGGGTTAGCGAAAACCAAGTCTTTGCTGCATGGCGGGAAGCAATTCAATTCAAACTTTTGAACGCGCATGAGTCATCACTTCTCGAATCTCAGCAGGTCTTCGCTCTTGGGGCGGCTGCGGCCTGTTGACATTTGTATCGCTCTGCACAACGTTTCAGGAGCATCAATCGAGCTCCTTCCTTGGACAATCTCCTTGCAAACAGTCCTTTACCCTGCAAACAGTCCTTTCAACCTTCTGCCAGTAGAACAAGAGTCAAAGGTGTTCTGCATTGCTTTGCACCTGTTGCCAAGCGCGGTAAGCATTGGTCAGGATAAGATCACCTGAATTACCTGGACACATGGCCCAGGGCATGGCGCAGGCACGGCTAGTTCAGGAACGGAAATGCTGGAGGAAAGACCATCCTCATGGCTGGATTGCAAAGCCAAAAAAGAATGCGGATGGGACGGACTGCCTATTGACTTGGGAGTGCACCATTACTGGGTCTGAAAGGGTAACATATGCTCATTCTGCTTCTTTGAGGGTTGAAGGATGCACCTCTTTCCATCCCGAGCAACAGTCCCATTTTCCGTATCCTACAAATGTCTCTGTTTTGCCTTTCTTTCATACTGACTGAGACTCCATCTTGGAGACAATTCATAGAGCCACGTACAAATGCCTGCTTTGGCTTTTCTACCTCATCTGAAGAGAAGCTGTTGGGCTGCTTGCTGTGCTATGACCGGTATGTCTACCTAACAGACTGTTACAACAAATTCCATCATTCGGTCCTCCTGAACACCTGAAGAAGTGACCGGGTGCAATTATAAGGGGTCCAGATGCTATTTCATATCTCTATAATAGTACTTAAAACATCGGTGTCTGAGGATGACTTTTCAGAGCGACTTTTAAGACCAACTTCAGAGCCCAAAGGGAGCTTGCAGTCCATTGCTACGTACAGTCTGCCAGCATTTGCCAAAGCAGAGCTTGGATTCTAATTGGGACGGCTGAGTAGCTAGTCAAGCTACAACCACAGATTGTCCAAGGCTGGGGGGCACCAGACAAAAGCGAACAGCCAGTTTTGCAAACACTCAAACCTCCTGGTTGCGCAGGTTTCAGACTTTTAGGACAAATGGATAATGAACACTTGCTCTACTTTTCATGCAGACGCCATGGGAAGGGGGTGCGTTCCCAATCACACTCAAGTTCTCTGAAGACTATCCAGCTCGACCTCCGGAGTAAGAGTCAGGTGTCTTCTTTCTGGAGTTGATCGTCTATTGTTTCTCTAAGCAATAGATGATCAAGGCAGTAGCTCTGTCAGAATGCAGGATCACGAGTTGGTTGCTGTAATGTCGCTCTCTATCACATAACTCTGAGTATGCAATTTAGAGAGTGTAGCTCGAGTCCTCAAGCTTTAAAGCCACGCCCTAAGTTTGGATCTCATGTTCCTATGTTTGGTACTAATTCATATAAAGCACCTCGCCATGTCAGGTGCTACTTTCCCACGGGTTTCTTCCATCCTAATGTCTACCCGTCCGGAAAGATCTGCTTGAGCATCATCAACACCCCTGAGAATAAGGGGACGTGGAAACCCTCAATCACAGTGAAACAGGTGAGCCAAGCTTGTACAACGTACTCTGAGAAGCCTTTCCTAGTACCAACGGCAGTCACCTCTTGACTAACATGGTCCGAAGCAATGTTTGATAGTCTGATGGTTTAAGGCCCCCTTCAAACTGGTCAAGACCATCGCACAAGTCCAGAGTCAAGGCGACGAAACTGCCTAGAATCAAATCTTCATCCCTTGCACCCCTAGTCAGAACAAATCCAGGGGGTTCTGAAGATGATGGATGCTGAAGAGGGTCTGACTATCTATGGTCCACCTCTGATGACACCAGTCAATCTTTGCTGCCGTAAAAGAAGTAAACCTTTCTCTCTGGACTAGGCGTCCTTTCTAACCGTTAAGGAAGCAACGGTGTGGCTTCCGCAACGTGAGAGCAAGACCCCCGGGGCGACAACTCATGTCGTAAATGCACATGTGATCAGCTGCCGTCTCAAGTATATCGTGGACCTCCCTTTTGAATTAATACTGTTTTGTTGTTTTAATCATGGCAAAAAATTACAGCCTGTTTAAATCTAAAAAAAACGTTCAAACCAGTTTGAGACAAAACCATGTTCCTTTATGATGTTTATTGGCGTACGAAATTGTGGCTTCGCCGATCACATGTGCAAGAATGTTTTCATGTCTTAAAATTATTTGTAGCTGTTGCACAAGTAGGAGGAGGCATTTTCATGTTTCCATGTTTACACTTGTACTTCGATGGCTCTCTGCGAAAGTTTTGCATTGGCCATCTCTATCTTGACTAGATTGTTCAAAGTTGACAGGAAAGACAAAAATTTGAAGAAACAAATTCACATCCGTCCCGGGGCCAGAACCTACCGGCGTTAAGATGATCTGTTGTTGCAAGGGCAGCCAAAATAATCTCGCAATCAAGGCAGTTACATACTGATGCTTTGGTCCGTTCCTGCTCTTCTCTCGGCTGCAGATCTTGTGTGGAATACAGAGCCTCCTGAACAGCCCAAACAATGCTGACGCCGCACAACAGGCTGCATACGACCAGTATCGGTAAGCAATCAACCCCGAGGAGACCCCGAGTAACTGTCGAGTGGAAGGAAGATCGCTTTCGATGGCGTAACCTGTACTCAATTGAATAGTTATTAGATAGCTATTGCTTTTTTTGAGGGAGTGACATTCAACATAAATGGGGTGTCGTTCCGCTTCCAAGATTGTTCTACTAGCGAACGGTTTCCTAACATAGGCCAGCTTTCTCAGGAATAAGCCGTTTGTAGCCGTTTCGGCCCCTGATTGTAACCTGTGGTTTTTCGACCAACATGAATGCTGTTGGGACACCGTAGGTATTGTGGGCAAAACTACCTGCTTGTTTCTGTGTATTCCTTTCTGGTCCAGTTCTTAAGCAAAGCAAGCGTTTAATTGGACTGAGGGGTGAAACGGATGATGGTTGGACCAATACCCTGTAGTCTTTCCTTGAATCTAAACGGTCAAGATCGGCTCAACCATCTGGTTTCTCACAAGCACAGCAAGTACCGCACAAAAGTAGACCAAGCTTTGATATGTTAAGGTCACCTTTCCACCATTTGCTCGAAGAGGTGGTCTCTCTATCTCGAGTCATGTTTTGCGGGCGACCAGGAGAAGCTTATAGTGCTTATGGTGCCTCCCTTGTCGACTTGATTTCAGTTCACAACCTGTTATCTTGTGCAGGCGGAGTAAGGCCGATTATGAGGCAAAGGTGCGGAGAGAAGTGGCCAAGAAGTTCAAGCCCCACCTAGCAGATGTGACCAACATCCCATAAGGCCAAC